CACTAAGAAGAATATATGCAGTGTATTATTTGTTGAAACTGTACTTTCGATTTGATTTGAAACTGTCTCATTGCTATATGTTTATCAATAAATCTCTGAAAAGAAAAAAAAAATATAAACACTAAATATCCTGGAAGAGAATGTAGGAGAAACTCTTGAATATATAGGGGTGGGAAAAGAGTCCATGAACATAAAGCAAATTGCATGGGTAATACTTGAAATAATTAACAACTGGAACTTCCTTTTATTCAGAAGTTTTTGCATATTCAAAGAAGTTACCAACAAAATGAAAAGTTGACCCACGAATTTCAAAAATATCTTAACTAATAAGGACTCAGACAAAGGTCTGCTCTCTAGAATTTATAAAGAAGTAGAAAACATTAGAGCACTAAATTTAAAGACCCAATCCAGAAATGAGCATCTGAAATAAACACACACATTTCACAGGACGAAATTATAGAAGTGAATAAATATATGAAGAAATGCTCCATATCACTTCCCGTCAGTGAAATGCAAAGTCAAACAACACTGAGATACCATCTCATCCCAGTAAGAATGGCTATCATAAAGAAATCAATGAACAACTGATTTTGGAGAGGCTTTGGGGAAAAGGAACCCTTGTCCACTGCCGGTGGGAATGTAGACTGGTGCAATCATTATGGGAATCAGTGTGGAAACTCCTTAAAAATGAAGTTATTGGAATTACATCAGACTCCTTATCATAAAATGTAAACACCAGGAGAATTCAGAGTTAAGTGCTTCAAGTCCTAAAAGTAACTACTAACCCCAAATAATATATCCTACAAAACTATCTTTTAAGCTTGATGGAAAAATAGGTCTTCTTATAGCAAAGCACATCTTAAAAGATATATGAGCACCAAATCAATACTGCAAAAATACTTAAGAATATTCTAGGCAGAGCCAATGAAGACCACAATGCCAAAAAATCATATATAATAAATCTATCAAGCAAGGTCAGTAATTAACCTAAAAACAAAAAATAAATTAAAAAAATCATCAACAGAAAAATAACACAGCGACAGGAATAAATCAGTACCTTGACTCTTAAAGTAAAAGGCTCAACCCTCCAATTAAAAGACACAGACTTCTAGGCTAGATCAAAAAAAAAATATAGTACCCAAGAATTTATTGCATTCAAGAAACTTATCTAGAGTCTAGGGAGATGGCTTGGCAGTCTAAGCACCTGCCTGTCAAACACAGGTCCAGAGTCCCTTACCTGGTACTGTACATTATGCCAGCCTCATAACCCAGGCATGTTGTGTGGTTACCAAAACTGGGCATAATGGTGCCCACCTGTAATCCTAGTGTTTGGGAAGCTTAAAGCAGGATTACTATGAGTCTCTGCTGCATAGCAAGATGCCATATCAAATAAATATATTAAAATCTTGTCTATTTTTTATTTCAAGGTTTATTTTTGTAAAGGAATGAATTTCCAAAATAGTTTCATAATATAAATGTTTTTCTTTTTTAAAAAAGCTACTTTTCTCACAAAGGGACAGAACAAGATAAAATCACTTTGTTTCCTAGGCCAATACATATTTAAATGAGTATGATGTAGACATCAATAAATTTAATGTTTCATTATCAATGTCAATATTAGCTGCTTTAAAAACAAATACCTATATTTTATATTGCTTTGTCAAAATAAGTGTACCTTTTAGAAGCCAATCAACCTCATTTTGTCATTTAGACTAAGATTCCAATTTCCATCTTTAAATGTTCTAGAACTTATCAGGCTCTACCCACATTGGACAGCAAGTCAAATTAAATTAAAAATCTTCATTACATTCAACTAGCCTCCTTTTATCATTGTAAGACAAACAATGAAAATGAATGAACATTTTCCTTCAAACTAGAAAAGTGAATGAATTAAATCTTTTGAGTGGGGTTCAATTAAGTTCAAGTATTTACAGCTAGTTGAATTAAATTTTTTCCTTAGGTTAAGAACAATCATTAAAATCCAGTATTTGAGAAAAATAAATAAAGGCAACAAAAGATAAAAAATTCTATATTAGAATTGCAAAATCCATAGTCACACACCCATACATGTGTGCACATACTCTCTCTCACACACACATACACACTTTTATTTTCATGTAAGACAATAATTTTGATAACCATAATATTTGCATTAAAATACCTAATTCTTTCCTGCTCTGCTAAGAAAGACAAAAGTTCAATGCACTCAAAGTGTTGAGTGAGCAAAGGTGAATGTCAACTGAGAAAACATGAATACTAATTATTTTGTCATTTTGGTCTCATCAAGCAGAGGCCCTTTTCAGGAGCTTGACAAAAACATGTTTCATAAGACTGTATTCATGCTATCAGGTTCTGAACTTGGGAGATTTTGCAAACATAAATAATAAATTTAAAAAATAATGAAACCAGACAACAGTATCCAAACATTTTTTTCTTAATGACTTCTTCTACAGTTTTAGCCTAACCCACTGATGGTGAACTATGGCATTCAGGTCACAGTGTTGTCTGTATCACAAAAAGCTCTTAGAGGTTCACTATCACTCACCCAGTCATTTATTAATGTTCACTCTTAGATGAATCTCTTTCTTAAAGGAGGTGCATAGTAACTGCCTTAAACCTTCATGTAAAATAAAAAGAAATTAGTTGATAAAATGCTAAATAGAAATAACTGACATCTAATAAATATCTTAAAATGCAGGAAGTGTATTACATGACCAAGCTAATGAAAAATCTTCAAATGAGTAACATATTTCATCCTAACAGATGATTGCATATCTATGTTGGAAAATGTCATTTTTAATAATCTGCAGGAAAGATCATGTCAACAATTTGGAAATAAAATCCCATATAAGTGCTGACTTAAGAAAAGAGTACAAAGCAAAAGAATGTTGAACTATTCACAGGTTTAAAAGCAGTTCTTACCTTTACATCAAAGGCAGTAGTGCACCAACTGTACCAAATTATCACAGTCATCTTTCCACGGAGAAGAATACTAAAGCAGGCTACAAGATTTCTGAAAAGATTCACCACTAATATCTATAATTTTCATTTAAAACCTTAAGACTGTCTTCATGCTTATAATGCAGAAGAAAAGAAAAAATCTTGGAATGAAGACTAGATTTGGTTTCTTCTAAAAAGAATAAAATATGACACTGAAACTGTGAATAACAATCATAATTCATAAGGAAGCACAAGAATATGCCAAATTGTCCTATAGTAGATACAATGTTGGGTAGTAATGAAGATTGCTTATCTAAAAGAAGGTGCTTGACAAACCTCAACTTTAATCAAGTTTTCCATTCTGAAGAGTATTATTGGCATTCTCTTGTCTGATGAGAGAGATGACTTTGATGCACTTTTTATAGATTTTGATCATCCACAAGACATTCATCACATCCAAAACAACACAAGTACAGATCCAAGAATATTGGATTATAGCTCTCACCCTGAGGTAGAGTTCTGTTCCACAGACAGAATACAAGAACCTATACAAAGGAGGTATTATAGCAATCCGCACAATGAAAAATGCCACTATCATAAGAATTCCATTAATGACATAAGCTTTTGAAAACTTAGGATACTTCAGAGCTTCAAAGAACCACCACTGATTCACAACCTGGCTGCAGAGCTCCGCAAGCAGTCGGAAATTTGCGATGTACTCCAGCACTTGATGTGTCAGTACAAAGCAGTGGGCATACAGTGCTGCACAATGATGAATTATGAAAAACTTGTGAACAATCACTTTCCAATAGAAAATGAGAATCACAAATCAGAAATGAGGTAGCCTGAAGTAATAGCAATATTCAGTTTCACAAGTGATCAGTGGCCCCACAGTGGGTCAGCTTTAGTTACCTCATCAAAGAAGAAAACATAAAGGCCCAAAATTCCAACCATCAAAGAATGGCATGCAGATACTTGAGTTTCATTCTATCTTCTTTTCCAAACTGAGACTAGTGAAATCTGAAGAAACTTTTGTAGAAAACCAGTAACTTACAAAGTAGAAAAGAAATTGAAAGCTGAGAAAGCTTGTACAAAGAGTGCTAATGACCAGCGTGGTGTTGGGATTCATATTTCTTCAACAGTTACTGGAGGCTTCAGTCCATACTCAGCTGTCTTCAGGCAGAGTGGCACAAGACAGAGAACAACTGTTTATGGCTGCGGTAAAGAGCAACAGCCTAAAATCTAATCTAATTCATCCTTGCGCAGGAGCCATGCTAATCTTCTCTGTATCATTCCAATTTTAGTATATGTGCTGCCGAAGTGAGTACAATCTAATCTAATTCAGAAAGAAATCTATACACTAAAACTCAAGGTTGGAATGCAATATTTCATGTATCAGGACCATGAAAATAAATAAAGACAGCAATTTTATACTCAACAAAGTAAATTTTGTGTTAAAACTAGTCAGAGATCTCAAGAAAGATCACAATAGGGGCCAGGGTGATAGTTCAGTAGGACAAGTGCTTGTCTGACAAGCATGGGGTCCTGAATTCAATCCCTGGTGCTGAAAAAAAAAAGAAAGAAAGAAAGGTCATAATTTATTAGTTAGGGGAATAATTCAACTGGAAATGATAACAGCTGCAAATATGTATATACTGAATATTAGAATACCTAATTTCTTAAAGCAAACATTGCTGGACATTAAAGAACAAAATTGAGTCCTAGCCCAGGTCCGGTGAGTGTGCGGAGAGTTTCCTGCTACCCTGCGCCGGCGGGACCAGTCCCAGCCCAGGCGCAGCGTGGGCCGG